ATCCTTTTTAATGGAGAGAGGCTGAAAACACTCCCCTTGAGAACAAGAACAACACAAGGATGCCCTTTATCAGCACTCCTATTTAACATTGTGATGGAAGTCCTAGCTAGAGCACTAAGGCAAGAAAAAGAAATTTAGGGCTTCCAAACTGGTAATGAAGAAGTTAAACTGTCCCTATCTGTGGATGACATGATTCGACACACAGAAAACCTAAAAGACTCCACGAGAAAACTACTGGAACTGATAGAAAGATTCAGCAGAGTAGCAGGATACAAGATAAGCATACAAAAATCAATTGGATTCCTGTACACCAATAAAGAGAACGATGAAAAGGAAATCAGGAAAACAATACCATTTACAATAGCCCCTAAAAAAATAAAACACTTAGGAATAAATCCAACCAGGGAGGTAAAAGACCTATACAAAGAAAACTACAAAAACTACTGCAAGAAACCCAAAGGGATCTACATAAATGGAAAAACATACCATGCTCATGGATAGGTAGACTCAACATTGTGAAAACGACAATTCTACCCAAAGCAATTTACAAATACAATGCACTCCCAATCCAAATACCAACAACATTCTTCAAAGAGATGGAAAAACTAATCACTAACTTTACATGGAAAGGGAAGAAGCCCCGGATAAGTAAAGCACTACTGAAGAAGCAGAATAAAGTAGGAGGACTTGCACTACCTGACCTCAGAATCTACTATACAGCTACAGTAATCAAAACAGCCTGGTACTGGTAGAACAACAGATACATTGACCAATGGAACAGAATCGAGAACCCAGATGTAAATCTATCCACCTACATCACCTGATCTTCGACAAGGGCCCAAAATCCATCAAATGGGGAACAGACACTCTTTTTAACAAATGGTGCTGGCAAAACTGCATGTCTATCTGCAAAAAAATGGAAGAGGACCCATACCTCAAACCATACACAAAAACTAATTTAAAATGGCTCAATGGCCTAAATGTAAAGTTAAAAAGTATAAAGTTCATAGAAGAAAAAATAGGATCAGCATTAGAGGCCCTAATGCACGGCATTAACAGGATACAATCCATAAACAACAACACACAAAATCCAGAAGATAAGCTAGACAGCTGGGATCTTCTAAAGATTAAACACTTATGCTCATCAAAAGACTTCACCAAAAGAGTAAAAAGAGAACCTACAGACTGGGAAAAAATTTTTGACTATGACAAATCCAATCAGCGTCTAATCTCTAAAATTTACAAGATACTGCAAAACCTCAACAACAAAAAGACAAATAACCCAATTAAAAAACGGGCTAAGGGTATGAACAAGCACTTTGCCAAAGAACATATTCAGGTGGCTAATAGACACATGAAGAAATTCTCACGATCATTAGCCATTAGAGAAATGCAGATCGAAACTACAGTGAGATATCATCTCACCCCCACAAGGCTAGCATTAATCCAAAAAACTCAAAATAATAAATGCTGGAGAGTTTGTGGAGAGACTGGAACACTTATACACTGTTGGGAATGTAAAATGGTACAACCAGTTTGGAAATCAATTTGGTGCTTCCTTAAACAGCTAGAAATAGAGTACCATACAATCCAGCTATCCCGCTCCTTGGAATATATCCTAGAGAAATAAGAACCATCACACGAATAGATATATGCACACCCATGTTCACTGCAGCACTGTTTACTATAGCAAAAAGATGGAAACAACCTAGATGCCCATCAACGGACAAACTGATAAACAAATTATGGTACATCTACGCAATGGAATACTATGCAACGATAAAGAACAATGATGAAGCCGTGAAACATCTTATAACATGGAGGAATCTGGAGGGCATTATGATGAGTGAATTTAGTCAGTCACAGAAGGACAAATATTGTATAAGGCCACTATTATAAGAACTCGAGAAAAGGTTTAAACACAGAACACAACATTCTTCGATGGTTACAAGGGTGGGGAGGGAGGGGGAGGGTTATTTATTAACTAGATAGTAGATAAGAATTATCTTAGGTGAAAGGAAGGACAGCACCCACTACAGGGGAGGTCAGCACAACTGGACTGAACCAAAGCTAAGAAGTTTCCTGAATACAATCAAACACTTTGAGGGACAGAGTAGCAGGGGTAGGGGTCTGGGGACCATGCTTTCAGGGGACATCAAGGTCAATTGGCATAACAAAGCTTATTAAGAAAATGTTCTGCATCCTACTTTGGTGAGTGGCATCTGGGGTCTTAAAAGCTTGCAAGTGGCCATCTAAGATGCATGAATTGGTCCCAACCACCTGGAGTAAAGGAGAATGAAGAACACCAAAGACACAAGGAAAGTAGTAGCCCAAGAGACAGAAAGGGCCACATAAACCAGAGACGTCATTAGCCTGAGACCATTGGCTACCACCAATGACCGCCCTGACAGGGAAGATAACAGAGAGTCCCTGATGGAGCAGGAGAAAGGTGGCGTGCAGAACTGAAATTCTAGTAAGAAGACCAGATTTAATGGTCTGACTGAGTCTGGAGGTACCCCGGAAAGCATGGTCCCTGGATTCTCTATCAGCCCAGAACTAAAACAACTTCTGAGGCCAACTCTTCAGACAGGGATTGGACTGGGCTGTGGGATATAAAGTGATACTCGTGAGGAGTGTGCCTCTTAGCTCAAGTAGATACAAGAGACTAAACGGGCAGCTTCTATCCGGAGGTGAGATGGGAAGGCAGAGAGGGTTAGGAGCTGGTTGAATGGACATGGGGAATCAGGGGTGGAAAGGAGGAGTGTGCTGTCACAGTATGGGGAGAGCAATTAGAGTCACATAACAATGTATGTATAAATTTTTGTATGGGAAAAAAAAAAATGGGCAAAAGGAAATGAACAGACTCTACACCAAAGAAGACATTCAAGCTGCCAACAGACACATGAGGAAATGCTCATGATCACTAGCCATTAGAGAAATGCAAACCAAACCCACAATGAGATACCATCTCACCCTGGCATTCCTGGCATGAATCAAAAAAATGAGAAATACCAAATATTGGAGAAGCTGAGTGGAGATCAGAACTCTTATGCAGTGCTGGTGGGAATACAAATGAAACAACCGTTTTGGAAAACGATAGGGTACTTCCTTTGAAAGCTAGAAATAGAAATACCATATGATCCAGCAATCCCACTCCTAGGAATATATCCTAGAGAAATGAGTCGTCACAGGAATAGCCATATGCACACCCATGTTCACTGCAGCACTGTTCACAATAGCAAAAAGATGGAAACAACCCAGATGCCCATCAACAGATGAATGAATAAACTATGGTACATACACACAGTGGAGTATTATACAACGATAAAGAACCAATGATAAATCTATGAGGCATCTCATAACATGGATGAATCTGGAGGGCATTATGCTGAGTGAAATAAGTCAATCACAAAAGGACAAATATTGCATGAGACCACTAATGTTAAAAACTCATGAAAAGGTTTACATACAAAAGAACAATCTTAGATGACTACAAGGGAAGGGAGGGGTGGGGATAGAAAAACACTAAATAGGCAATAGATAAGTGGTAACTTTGGTAAAGGGTAAGACAGTACACAATACTGGGTAAGCCAGCACAACCTGTAAAAGGAAGGATTATCGAAGCTCCATAAACACATTCAAACTCCCTGAGGGACAGAACTGCTAGGCTGTGGGCTGTGGGGACCATTGTCTCAGGGAACATCCAGCTCAATAGGCATAACACAGTTTATAAAGAAAATGTTCTACATTCTACCTTGGTGAGTAGCGTCTGGGGTCTTAGAAGCCTGTAAGCAGCCATCTAAGATACTCCACTGGTCTCACTCCTTCGGGAGCAAGGAAGAACTAAGAAAACTAAAGGTATAAGGCAAAGATTAGTCCAAAGGACTAACGGAACACATCTACCATGGCCTCCACCAGATTGAGTCTACTACAACTAGATTGTGCCTGGCTACCACCACTGACTGCTCTGACCAGGATCACAATAGAGTGTCCCAAATACAGCTGGAGAAAAATGAAGAACAAAATTCTAACTCACAAAAAAAAAAAAAGAACAGACTTACTGCCCCTGGATACCCTTTTAGCTCAGTAATGAATTCATTTCCAAGGTTCACTCTTCAGTCAAAGATTAGACAGGCCCATAAAACAAAATGAGACTAAAGATGCACAACAGCCCAGGGGCAAGGAATAGAAGGCAGGAGGGGACAGGAAATCTGATAATAGGGAACCCAAGGTCGAGAAGGGAGTGTTGACATGTTGTGGGGTTGTTAACCAATGTCATAAAACAATATGTGTGCTAATTGTTTAATGAGAAGCTAGTTTGTTCTGTAAACCTTCATCTAAAGTACAGTTAAAAAAATTAAAAAATGACATATGCCATAAAAACATGCCCCCAAAATTATGATTTCTACTTTTAAAGTAGTATGTTTTAGAAAAGATTAAACTCATGAACCACCTCAAATTGGTTCTTAAAAAATCTGTAGAGGAATTTTTGTTTGTTATCCAAAAATACAAGGCACAATGTATATTGATCAGACAAAGAAGCTACAATGTATTATTTTGCTATTTAAACGTTAAAAACAAAACAAAACAAAAAACGTTTAATTTCTTTAAAAACAAGTAATATCTAAAGAGAAAAGAAAACAGCAGGTCTTTGACTAGAAGGCATATTTGTTGCCATAGCAACAGAGCTTCTATTCCTGCCCACTAAATTCACATCCTGCTGACATCAATCACAAATGTCCATTTGTGCCAAATTAATGCCATGCTACAGACACTTGGGGATATACATTCTTGACAGAACTGGGAGTTTTTCACGTTTCAAAAGGGGATAAATTCACAGTCCTCACTAGGTGATGTTCTTCCTCCAGCTTAAAAGCTAAAGTTAATGCCGAGTCACGCTAATCTTTGAAAACAGCAGTTGTTCTCTAAAAGGGCCAGGGCAGCTACTCTGAAGACCCCATTGCCAGCCCTCACTGCCAGGGTCACCCATGTGTACTCACCAGCACTGCCTTGAGGGTTCTCACACATTTCACAATATGGTAACACTGAATTATTGATATAGGTGCAAAAACCACACTGCCAGCCCTTTCCAGGAAGGGATGGGGCAGCTGGCTGAGACTTGGCCTCAGGGGCACCTTCCATGAGTGGAGCTTTGGTTTGCCTGGGCTGGAATGGTTTCTCCTCTGGGGGACTGCAGCAATCCTGGACAGCAACCGATTTCAATCTTTTAGCTTCAGGTTCAATATCACTTTCATATTCAGTGTTATTGCTTGCAGCTTTTTTTCTAGGATCTGATGCCTCTACAGTATTTTTCTCCTGGAATATCCTTGGTTCATCACAGGAGGTCATCAACTGTCTTTTCTTCAGTTTTGGTAAAAAGAATGATCGAATATCATGCTGTTTTTCTTTTTCGAACTAGAAAAAACAAAGTTATTAAATTAAAAAGCAATCTAGTATGTTCCTCTCAAATGAAACAGATTAACAAAATATGTTCATTAACTACATTCCTTTATCCTTTAAATACCTTTCTGGAAATGAATTCAATGTCACAACTCTTCATATATGCATATCTGTAAAATACGATTAACATATCCATATACTTTCTCAGTCTAACTTTCCTTTCAGCACTTACTACATGCCAGACACTTTACATATATCAACTGATAGAATCCCCATGACAGCTTTGTGAGGTAGTACTATTTTCATTCTTATGTTTCAGATGAGGAAACTCAAGCTTTAGAGAGGCCAGGAAACTTGGCTACCGTGGTTATGTAATAAAAATATGTGTTACTTATAAGCTATCTGCTGTACATGTATGTATGTGAGGGAAAGAAGCCAATTGTGTATTCAGATAGGTCAAGTCAATGAAGAACCTAGAAAAATCCTTTCATGCTCAAACTACAGTGAAATCTGTGAGAGCCAGAACTTGACAGGACTGTCTTGTTTTTCCAGGTCTTGCAGGTTTTCTGCCTTTCACAGGGTACAGTCTTACCATTTTTCTACTGCTCTCTACTAGTGGAAAATATTCGAGTTTTCCTTCTCTGATAGGTTTTACCTTACAAAGGTTCCAGCTTTTGCAAGTTTTACTGTATAAGCACAGTGTTCATAAAACCAAACCAAACCCATTGCTGTCAAGTCGATTCTAACTCACAGCAACCCTACAGGACAGAGTAGAACTGCCCCACAGGGTTTCCAAGACTGTAAATCTTTATGGAAGCAGACTGCCAAATCTTTCTCCCACGGAGTGGCTGGTAGTTCAAACTGCAGACCTTTTGGTTAGAAGCCTAGCACCTAAGCACTACAATGTTATTCATGTTAAAATGTTTTCTTGACCTGGAAGCATTTTTCAAATACCATTAAAGCTATTAACTTAAGACCTAATTATTTTTTCCGTTGAATTTTCTTGTTCATACCATGTGTTTTCACTAATGGAAGGCATGGTGATTAAAGGACCAATTCAGAATTTTTGTTATGATTTATGAATTTTGATGCCCATTATCTGGGATCCCATATGTCCCAGAAAACCCTGGACGTTGTAAACCCTGCCAATATGAATCAATGATAATATCGTTTTTTAAATTTTATTTCTTGAAAGTTTGCAAAACACAAGTTAAAACATGAAGGCATCTGGCAATGACTGCACATACATTTCATTCTAGTTGTCTTCTTCTTAGGCTTTTTATTATTTTTCATGAAACTTTTCAAAACAGGGTACAATGCAATCTTCCTTACTGCAAAAGTAGTACTTGCAGCCCAAATAAATAAAACCAAGGGATTTTATCTTAGGAAAATTACCATTATAATGTATTCTTCAATACTGTAAAAGCAGTACTGACAGAGCAAATAAATAAAACTAAAGGAATTTGAATCTCAGGCAAATTACTACTACTATGTACTCGTCATTATAACAAAAACAGTACTAACAGCTAAGAAGCAGAAACAGCTGCCCTGGAATACAGCAGAACTGCTCAGAGAGGTGCATTCCACCTGCTACAAGCAGAAACAATGACTGGGCCCTAAGACTGAACGCAGCGTCAGAATAATTTACAGCGTTTTGAGTCTCTTGAAAAATACCACTGCAATGTATTATTCCTTATTGCAAAGGCATTATTTATTGTTCAGAAGCTAGAAAAGCAGGGAGTTAGTAACACCTGGAAACAATGAATGGCATCAGGCAGAAAATGGTCACTATGACTGAATAAAGACTGGGAATAGCTTATTCTCATGATAAGTACATTCTCACGAGAACATAGTAACTGGGAAACACAGTGAGGAGGCTCATCTCACAGAAATAAAGGAAAACCTGTCAACAGTTTAGAAAATTCACACATCCAGGAGGCATCACTTAAGACAATGCTCAATCTACACAGAAATGAGGCACCAACTCAGGGTTCTTGAGTTTCACGTAGAAAGGCTCCCACCTTGAAGTTAAAAGTGTTAAAATCAGGCTACTTCCTTCCCAAAGCACTCCAGAGGCTTAAGAAGTGGCTGGGACACTGCATGTCGGAAGAGTTACAAAAGGGTTAGTTAAAGCAGCTTCTTTAGAGATTGAAGAGGTAATTTAAAAACTCCCAACAACAAAAAAAGTCCTGGCCCTGACGGCTTCACTGGAGAATTCTATTAAACTTTGAGAGAAGAGTTAACACCACTACTACTTTCAGAGCATAGAAAAGGATGGAATAGTCCCAAACTCATTCTATGAAGCCAGCAGAACCCTGATACCAAAACCAGGTAAAGACACCACAAAAAAAGAAAATTACAGACCAATATCCCTCATGAATATAGATGCAAAAATCCTCAACAAAATTCTAGCCAATAAAATTCAACAAAATGTCAAAAAACTAATTCACCATGACCAAGTGGGATTCATGCCAGGTATGTAGGGATGGTTCAACATTAGAAAAAACAATTAATGTAATCTATCAGATAAATAAAACAAAAAACAAGAACCATATGACCTTATCAATTGATGAAGAAAAGGCATTTGACAAAGTCCAACACCCATTCATGATAAAAACTCAGCAAAATAGGAATAGAAGGGAAATTCCTCAACATAATAAATGGCATTTATACAAAGCCAACAGCAAACATCATCCTAAATGGAGAGAATCTGAAAGCATTCCTCTTAAGAACAGGAACTAGACAAGGATGCCCTTTATCACCACTCTTATTCAACATTTTGCTGGATGTCCCAGACACAACAATAAGGCAAGAAAAAGAAATAAAGGGCATCCAAGTTGGTAAAGAAGAAGTAAAAGTATCCCTATTTGCAGATGATATGATCTTATACACAGAAAACCCCAAAGAATCCACAAGAAAACTACTGGAACTAATAGAAGATTTCAGCAAAGTATCAGGATACGAGATAAACATACAAAAATCAGTTGGATTCCTCTACACCAACAAAGAGAACTTCGAAGAAGAAATCACCAAATCAATAATATTTACAATAGCCCCCAAGAAGATAAAATACTTAGGAATAAATGTAACCAGAGATGTAAAAGCCCTATACAAAGAAAACTACAAAACACTGCTGCAAGAAACCAAAAGAGACCTACATAAGTGGAAAAACATACCTTGCTCATGGATAGGAAGACTCAACATTGTAAAAATGTCAATTCTACCCACAGCAATTTACAGATACAATGCAATCCTGATCCAAATTCCAACAACATTTTTTAATGAGATGGAGAAACAAATCACCAACTTCATATGGAAATGGAGGAGGCCTCAGATAAGTAAAGCATTACAAAAGAAGAACAAAGTGGGAGGGCCTCACATCACCTGATTTTAGAACCTATTCTACTGCCACAGTAGTCAAAACAGCCTGGTACTGGTACAAGAGATACATAGACCAATGGAACAGAATTGAGAATTCAGATGTAAATTCATCCACCTACGAGCAGCTGATATTTGACAAAGGCCCAAAAGTCTGTTAATTGGGTAAAAGACAGTCTCTTTAACAAATGGTGCTGGCATAACTGGATATCCATCTGCAAAAAAATGAAACAAAACCCATACCTCACACCATGTACAAAAACTAACTCGAAATGGATCAAAGACCTAAATATAAAATCTAAAATGATAAACATCATGGAAGACAAAATAGGGGCCTTAATACATGGCATAAACAGAATACAAACCATAAGTAACAATGCACAAGCACCAGAAGAGAGACCAGATAAACGGGAGCTCCTAAAAATCAAACACTTATGCTCATCAAAAGACTTCACCAAAAGAGTAAAAAGACAACTTACAGACTGGGAAAAAATTTTTGGCTACAACATATCCAGTCAGGGTCTAACCTCTAAAATCTATAAGATACTGCAAAACCTCAACAACAAAAAGACAAATAACCCAATTAAAAAATGGGCAAAGGGCTAACAGGGAACACAACAAAGAGTCCCTGACAGAGCAGGAAAAAAGTGGGGTGCAGAACTCAAATTCTACTAAAAAGACCAGACTTAATGGTCTGACTGAGACTGGAGGAATCCCAGAAGACATGGCCCCTGGACTCTGTGTTAACCCAGAAATAAAACCATTCCTGAATCCAACTCTTCAGAAAAAGAAAAGACTGTACTGTAAGACACAAAATGATACTTGTGAAGAGTGTGCTTCTTAGTTCAAGTAGATACACGAGACGAAATGGGCAGTTCCTGTCCAGAGGTGAGAGGAGAAGGCAGAAAGGGATAGGAGCTGGTTGAACAGACACCAGAAATCTGGGGTGGAAAGGAGGAATGTTCGGTCACATTATTAGGGATAGCAACTACGGTCGCATAGGGTCACATATCAATGTGTGTATAAATTTTTGTATGAGAAACTAACTTGAGCTGTAAAATTTCACCTAAAGCACAATTTAAAAAAAAAAAAGAAAGAAAGGGCAAAGTATATAAACAGGGACTTCACCAAAGAAGACATTCAGGTGGCTAACAGATACATGAGGAAATGCTCATGATCATTAGCCGTTAGAGAAATGCAGATCAAATCTATAATGAGATACTATCTCACCCCAACAATGCTAGCACAAATCCAAAAAACACAAAATAATAAATGTTGATGAGGTTGTGAAGAGACTGGAACACTCATACACTGCTGGTGGGAAAGTAAAATGGTACAACCACTTTGGAAATCAATTTGGCGCTTCCTTAAAAAGCTAGAAATGAAGTACCATATGATCCAGCAATCCCGCTCCTTGGAATATATCCTAGAGAAATAAGAGCCATCACACAAATAGATATATGCACACCCATGTTCACTGCAGCACTGTTCACAATAGCAAAAAGATGGAAAAACCTAGGTGCCATCAACAGACGAATGGATAAACAAATTATGGTACGTACACACAATGGAATACTATGCAACAATAAAGAACAACGAGAAATCCGTGAAATATCTTACAACATGGATGAATCTGG